ACACAACCTCACAATGAGCGATGATTGTGTCAAGTAACCGTGAGATTTTTTCAATGTGGCACGCGTTTTCCATTGTTTGGTTTTTTATTACCTACTTACGCAATATCGTCTTATGATCTACGAATACCGCGTTACCTGAGCTTAAGACAGTCTGCAATATAATACGTAAAAGAAATACAAGAACAAAAATGAATAAGTTGCCAGACAATCCAGCAGTTTTAGCAAAGAATTTCTGTGCTAAAACGGCTGGATTGTCTTATATTTCGTGAATAAATAGAATAAATACGATTTGGAATAAATCCATAAATAATATCGGAGTGCTAATATAAGAAGACCTAAAGAAATATTGCAATCAAAATGTACAAAATTCGTTTTCCCTGTTTTAAATATTTCTGATTCTAACAAAAGCACTCTGGTAATTTCATTAAATGCAATTTGTCTTTTCTGAATCGTTATTCAAATATAAATTCTCTCAGTCTAATAGTATAGCATTATTAAAGCTTTCCTTAGACATAGACATTTGTTTCTGAGTAAAAATTCCTTTAATAAAAATACCCAAGCAAATGTTTATAATTTAATAAACTCAATTGAATTTAAGTCGCATGTCAAGAGTCTAAATTGCTGGTTGTAACCGTAATAAAAGGCTAATGTTGTGCTTCTACTCGCGTGCTGAGGAAATATTTTTTTTAAAATTGATTGATTAGTTTATCCCTTGACGGCTGAGTTATGGTACCTTTTATTATAAAAATTGTTATTGATTTCAGTTTGTTAATCCTATGTAGTGTCTTCTTTTGCACTGTGATTTCAAATCACGATGAAATAATACTCAATCGTTTTTAAAATTAACCAATCGCAATGTCTAGTTTTAAATATTGACCACGAAATCACAACTAAAACGAAATGTTAATATTTTGATAGATCGGCAAGTACTTGTCAGAAATAATTCTTGGTATAACGTTGTTATTTGTTGGTACACATTTCTTTCTGAACATTTTATTATTTACTTGTTTAATTTAGTTTTAGGAATCTCTCCTCCCCTCTGAAGAAATTGCTTTTGTCGCATGTTATTGTCTCTCTTATTAATTGAGACACACAGTTAAATTAAAACGTTTCAATTTATTGTAAAAGTATAAAAATTTAACATAAAAGTAATAGAAATAAAAAAAATGGCAAAGAGAATGAAGTTTTTAGTGTTACTATTTGAGACAGATAGGAGTTGATGCTTTCTTATTTTTTTATCAAACCGTTTTAAACTGAAAATGTTTTAAATACGAAATACAGAAAGGTGCTTTATTTTGCAGGTAGATACCTACTATTTATATAAAATATTTGGCATCGTTTCATTCTCTGACATTCAACATAACATTATTCTTCTGGTAAAAATAGTAATATTTACGTGACCCGATATTTGGTCCAAGTACAACGATACATTTATTTACGTACTATTCTGAATATATCCCACATCGCAGAAATTTGCACAGCGCTACAGAACGTGATTTTGAAATCTCACTGCTTTTAATCCCATTCAAGTTAAACTACATTTCTTATCTGCTGATAAGAAACTTGTAGGCAAACATAGTGTGGCTGTTATTACATGAAACAGTTGTGATTCCCATGTTAAAAACTTGTCTGCAACAAATTATTTTTGGCCTTCGACCATAGTACACGCAACAGTTGAATGTTCATTATTGTTTTAATTTTTTTAATTCAGGCGCTAGTTGTTGATGACCATGGATAACTCGACGAATCTGCAAAAATATCTGAATGTCATCACTAGGAGAAATAACGCATTAATAATTAATACTTTATTAATTATATGCCTCTAGTTAATCAAGGGTCATTAGAATATTAAATTATGTAACAGAACCAATAATTTATTACTTGTATTGCCTCGATAAGTAACGAACAGGTTAGTGATGCATTTACCAGATAAAAAACAAAGGTTTCCTCATAATTTTAGCGGTAACAGCGTTTGTTACGGATTCATCCTTGCGGTGAATTAAGAATATATTTTTATGTAGCTCAGTGGTTAGGCAAGCATTTCTTTAGATACGAAAAAAACGTCTGTTGATGGATCTGGAATTGTTGTTCTGTAATGCAAGAGAAAATCAATCATATTAAATTATCTGCTTCGATATTTTCTATACAAAAAGCTTATTTCTGTTTCTATCCATTATATTGGTACGTAACTTAGATATAGCAAGGACAATGGAAAAATAAAATGCTCCCTGCTTTTAAATTGGCTCTTTAGAAAAAACTTTTTGGTGTGGATATAACCTACAGCACTGTTTTCATATGTAGCTTTCAAAATTCGCAAATGTCCTTCAAAATGTATCTTAATTAGACTTGGGTGCATCATTACAAACAGAAAGTGAGATTCTGATCAACTTTTTGGATATTATTGACGCCATATTTTGATATATTCGAACCGTCAAAGAACAATTTCAAGATCAGATGGTTACAGATTCAAATAAGGCATACAAAAGGTTTTTTTGCAAAGATCATCCACAAGTGGACCAAGTGTCCCGCGAAAAAAGAACACAATCATGAAGACATAATCAATTTATTCTGTAACTATGTTAGCAAATTGTTCCTTTCCGATGTTAAATAATATAGAATCAACAATTAAGAGTAATTTTTTCTGTTGCAAAGTTAAAATTCGTTCCAATGTAGCTTTCCAGACTATATTGCGGTAATATAACGAATATCCAATTATTTTACAGTTTTCCTTACCCCTTGCAGTTTTATCGCAATTAATGTATTTGAAAAAAATGTCGTGTTGCCAATTTGGATGCCCCAGTTCCTTAAATAACATTGTTATTGTGTCAGTTGGACCGAAGCCAAAATTAATTGTCCCCTATGTTTTTAATTACTCAGGGCGTTCTATGATGCAGTTTGTCTGGCAATCTGGCTGTCCCGATTTCTACGATGGAAATTCCATTAAATCGATCGGATGAAAGCGCTGTCCTGTCGAGTTAAGGCATTTAGCTTTCAAACGTGTCGCTGGTGTTTGGACTGAAAATGCCATTTTATTCCAAAGCTGGCAAGGATTTGCTACACTTGCGTTGATATTTTTAGTGTATAAACAGTTTTACTGAGTTTATACGCTTTTAATCTTATCATTAAAATCCCCTTTCATAAACTGCAAAGTTAGAAGTATGCAGGCTTTTAAGAGTGCAAGTTTAATTAAATTTAAAATGGAATTTTCAACGATCTAAGCAGCAAACAATCAATAATTTGAAAATATTACGTCAAGAAGGTTCTGAATAAACATATTAAATAAAAATGTTGCTACAGAAGGTTCTGAATAAATATATTAAATAAAAATGTTGCTAAAGGACAAAGATACACTTATTGATGATTTAAACTTCATAAGCTAAGTGATATAAATTCTTTTTTATTTTAAAAGAAAACATATATTTCATGATAAATACCAAAATACCACATACATCCTGCGCTGTTGACTCACAGACTGAACAAAGTGGCTACCTGCCACAAAATTTAAAGAAAAACATAGCCGACCACAAAATTACTGAATACCTTTAAGAACCACATCTCGGGTAATTTTAGACCCAATAAAAATGAAGTGGTGAGTTGTTTATTATCTTTATGTTCTGGAAAGAAAATAATATAGTAATTCCTTTATGTGTAAGTAGTTTACTTGCGGTTTTATTCGCATATATCGAAGTGTGGGAATGAAGGAAATATGTTGTTTTTATCTGTTATATTTTGTGTTGTTTATAAGTACTTGCAAAAACAGTATAAACATTTTTCCTACAAAACATGTTGCTTTATGTATCAAAAATGTACTTGCGAACACATTCATAAAAAAGGTAACATTTCCTCTTGGATTTTAACAGAATTAAATTCCTAACACTACACTAAATTGTACTATATTATTTCTACTATTTTGGATTGAAAAGTTATTATGTGACATCCATTTTTAACTCACACGTAATCTAAGTTGTCCAAACAATCCTTTAATAACATTTCTCTCACATTTAAGGCTTGCAATTTCTTTCTAGGTATGTAGACTGCGTACTTTCTATAGGACGAACGATTTTAATTTTCCTTTTGCTTTGTCGAGAAACCGTTGTCCCAAATTCTTATGATTTACAACTCTTTGTGTTGAAGCTTTTGGCAAATTTACCCCGACATTATGTTTTCACAAGCTATTATGAATCCTTTCCCTTAATATTTGAAGCAAAATCTGTTGGAATCTGCTTTGTTTCAATCGTTACCTGTTGAATCGAACAATAAGAAGCGTGTTTAACTCCCCTTTTCTGTTTCGACAAATTTGTCTTTAGTTTTCGGATGTTTAACAATGCATAATGCTTCATTAACAATTCAAAACTGATTTAATTTATTCTGTTAATGTCCACTGTCACTGATTTCAAAGAAGTGGCATTATATCGACTCCCAGTTAAATGCCCGCAGCAACAAAGGCCAAAAAACGTTACCGATGGCTAATTTTGATTCAAACCGCGTGTTCCCTGTTAAGATGTAACCGCACGTAGTACTGGTACCACGTACATACTGGTGGATGTTCGGTTAATATTTATAGTATAAACACAGATAAAAGTAACGTTTACTACTTGTTCTAACTCTCATATTAACGGTCTCCGAGGCCTCTTGTAAATAATTATAAGTTTTATTATCATCTCAGACGGGGTCGAGTAAAGTTCTTAATTCGAGCTGTTAACGAGTGAATATTTACACTAGGCTTAGTGTTCGGGAAAGTGTAAATTATAAACGGGGGAATATAATCCGTCTGAGTAAAGCTCTCAGTCACATATAAAAGTATGAACTGTTCTGAAACTGCATGAGGTATCATTTTTATATTGACCGTAAACGTATCATTAGTTCTCTTAAAAAAATTAATCTTCAATGTTCAGTTAGCAGTTCTACCATTTGATCTATGACTTTGATTTCTTGTGTCCTGAACTTGACATAAACCAGCAAACAGTCATCAATTAACAACACAATTTATCTTGTTTCAGAACGTAAAAATGCGCCTACACAGCCTTTCGACTTCGTAACGCTTTCGATGCCTAAACGAACGTCAAGGAACACCAAAACCAAGATGTAACTTAAGACTGCCAACACAAACCGTTAATCATCCATCAATGGGTGCCAACATGGGCAAGAACGCGTCCTTGCTTGATGCCTTGCCATCAGGCCAGGGCACCCTCCACGTAGTGATGCTCGGATTAGATTCAGCGGGGAAGACGACGGCACTCTACAGACTGAAGTTCGACCAGTACTTGAATACGGTCCCCACCATCGGGTTCAACTGTGAGAAGGTCAAGGGCATGATAGGAAAAGCCAAAGGTACAATATTTTCATTGCTAGCATCTCTCAACATTCCGCTCTTGAACAAATCTTCAAAGATTTGACTAACAGTGATTTTCTTTCTAGGTATCAACTTCCTGGTCTGGGACGTAGGTGGCCAAGAGAAGCTCCGCCCGCTGTGGAAGTCCTACACCAGGTGCACCGACGGTATAGTGTTCGTGCTGGACAGTGTGGACGTGGAACGCATGGAGGAGGCCAAGATGGAGCTCATACGGACAGTAAAATCGCCGGAAAATTCGGGGGTGCCCATACTAGTGCTCGCCAACAAGCAGGACTTGCCGGGAGCTCGCGAACCGCGCGAACTCGAGAAACTCCTTGGTCTGATCGAGTTGGGCCACGGCGGGGCCCCTGGGGGACACCTGTGGCACGTGCAGCCAGCGTGCGCCATCACTGGGGACGGCCTCCACGAGGGCCTGGAGGTGCTCTACGAGATGATACTCAAGAGGCGGAAGCTGGCGAAAGAAAGGAAGAAGAAGGGGAGATAAGACCGTGGTGCCGTGGGACTGTGCCCAGTGTAGTCAATAATTTAAGGTGTTTTATAGTGTTTTTAATAATTTTGCTGAAAAGGAAACGAATTCCACATGGTACAAAACAAAAGTAAGTCAATTTGTGACGTTAGTAAATAAGGCAGAACTTGATTAACGAAAATTTTAAATAGAATATACAAATTTTGATGCATGTGGGAATATAAAGTATTTACTGGAGGTTCCCTTAAATGTATGTGCAGGCTTTTTGATACATACATACAAATATTACAACAAAACAAAGTATCGTTATTCGTAACAGCGTATATGAGAATTTGGCCTAAATAAGCATTAGCAAGTTTTTTCTTGTTCGTGTTAGTTCTTACATCTTATTTATCTTAACTTAGACAAGTGGGATAAAAGCAACGAAATGTTATTTGTCTACTGGTAGATCAGCTTTAACCCTTCTCTTAAAAATGCTGTGTCCTTTTACACTCTTTGGTTTCAATGACGAAGATATATATATATTGTGTCCAAGCAGTCTACAAATAATTGCTTTGTGGAATATAGTTTTTCACAGTCACCTTGATAAAGCAATCGCTTTTTTTTGTCTCTTGGAAAGTGTAAGACCCTGTAGAAGTTTGACACCCAAATTAACACCTTATGACAAAAGATGTTAAAGTTTAATTATTGAATTAAACAATGATTGTACAATCTTCCCACATTGTACAATGCACCAGCGAATAAGGTTTGACGAAGTATGCCTATTTAACTTGAATATCCAATTGAGCAACAAAATTTTAAGGTATTTTGTATGTACAAACAACCTGTTCAAGCTTAACCTTACGTTTAGGAGAACCTTAACATTTTAACACGAACAAGATGCACAAGACAGAAAAATGGTTGTAATTAATATTATCGCCCTTACATGTTTCTGCTGTGAGTTTATATGATGAAAGATACATATCCCATAAAAACAAATAGAAAAACTTTTAAGACAGTAGAAATTTCCTTGAAATATTCAAACTTTCCTTACTACGTGATCTCTTCGTTAAGGCCAGGCAACAGAAATATTTTCTTTTCCAGCAATGGCTTCTGATCTCTAGAACTCATTTTTTTACTCAAGAGTGATACCAAAGAATAATAAATGCATACTTTTAGTATTGTACGACTGAATAAACCTCGATATTTGTACATATCAAAAACCTGTCAAGTTTCTTTTAAAGCATTTTCTACTAGTCAAAGTCATGGAAACTCATCTGCAGACATTACTTTTATACCAACTGATTCGTATATTTTCTTTTACGAGTTGTTGAGGATTTTGTCTTTCCGTAAAAAAATCAGTTTTAAATTTAATTCAGCTCTTTAATTTTTGATGCAGTGTTAGTGTTAAAATCTCCACAAATTTTCCTCCATTACCTTAGACACGAGAGGAACAATACCCTCTGGACCTACCAGTGGAAATAAATTTAGATTCTGTCGTCATAAATCACGTGTAAAATGTACATAATTTATATTCCTCACAGTAATTTATCAACCGTAGGTATTCTCGGCAGTAAGGATACTTTTTGGAGTAATTTAAGACATGATTTTATTAAAAACACTATATATTTTTGTAATGCCCGTCACTTGCCTAATAGAGTGAATGTTTTTTAAAGAAAAGCGTTGTCGGTGTCGCTTCAAATTGTGACCTACTTTTTTATCCACGTGTTACGTCTAGAAAACAAATTTTAGAAACTTATACATACTTTAAGAAACTAAGGCACAAAGCAGATACACTAGTGTACTTTTTGTTGATTATAAAATAAGTTTCATAAAATGTGATATTTTGCGATAAGCGAAAAGTACAATTTTGTATGTATGATAAGGGTTGTTAATAATGTACCTTTTTAATTGAAAAAAAATGACTTTGATAATCGTTCTTTTCCTGAGGGTTGATTAAGTAGCCAAGCTTCGTGGCCTCGGGATAGCTTTTTACTTACTTGTGATAGCCGAAAAATAGGTTTACTCTTATTTTTATTTTCACATAATAGTGAAAACTTAGTGAAGTAAGCTATGAATAGATTTCTCTTACAGCAAAATCAAGTATCAAGTGAAGGTCGACAATATTGGATAGAATATCTAAACTTGCATCAAATAACCAAAAATAGATTTCAGATAAGCAGAGACACAATGGCTAATAATAATATGCTGCACCCTGTTCCGCACAAGTCTTAGTCAGACATCCTACTCCTCACGTGATATTTGATGATGCTCTACGAATGGGATAGGGCAAAGGAAGAGAACAGTAGACTGTTGTCTCTTTTATATTTCTCCAATAATTTGAGTCAATGCTGAATACATTACTTAACAGCTTAAGAACGGTCTATTTTATTAAGCCCTATTTAAGCCTTTTGTAATTGAAAATTTTGAATATGACTTTTAATATGTGCGTTGTAAATTTGTAATCGCCAGGAGAGCCTAATAAAAAGCTGTAGATTGCACACACCAGGTCTTTGAAAGAGAAACGACGGTTATATCATTGTGTATTAAGAAAAAATGAAAGCGGTGTGAACCCATACCCTTATTATTCCCATTGTACGCTTTACATTACATCAAAATGTGCAATTTAGATAATAATTAACTGTGTTCTTGAATGGGTCATCGGCCATGTTTTGCATTATATCCAACACAATTAATATTATTAATTAAATCTCAACTTGCTGTGAGTGTCAGTGGAGGATGCGTTATTACTGGTTTTAAAGAAAAACTTTCCTCTGCAGAAAGCGAATATCATAGTAATGATGATGTTTCTTCATCGCTGATGGGAAAAGTGCAACAATATTGTATTGTGCATTGTACTGATACTGTCCATATCTGATTTCCAAATAGTAAATTAAATTAGCATAACGATTACAGTCAGTATGCCATTGAATAGACAATGTATATCTTCCAACCACAGACGAAAATAAATATAATGCGCACTCTGCAGTGGTCTGTGCTATGGGAATCTTGGATATATTAGTCCAGTTGTGTATTTTGTGATTAATCCGGTCTAATCATAGATTACACGAATAAACTAATAAATGCTAGATCATTGCGCAAACTTAAGCTTGAAACTGCTCGAGCTAACAATTGTACAATTTTCGTCATCATAACATATAGACTACAAGCCCATCGGAAATTTTCAAGGGGTTATTTGACCCAGCATGAATTATTTATAAATCAATACTGACACATATAACAATAACTTTAGAAACTATGCCGAAACTATTACCTATGTACTCACCTGTACCAACAAGAATTGACGGTATAGTTTCTAAAGTTATTGTTATATGTGGATTTATAAATAATTCATGCTGGGTCAAATGACTTCTTGAAAATTTCCGATGGGCTTGTAGTATAATATGAAAAAGCTGACAAGTTTAAATTCATGTAAATTGTAGATAAACATACAATTACTGTGTGTATCTCCATCTCATCTTATCCAACGAAGGAAAAGTAAAAAATGCTTCATAATGAAATATAGTTAAAACAGTCATTTGCTTTATGGATGAGCTTTATTTATGCCCCCTGACACTGCATATAATAAAATGTAATATCTCTTAAAGGCATATTCCAATCGACATGGCCTGATCAAATTTGGACACAGTTTGTTTACCAAACCAAAGGTGCTCATTTATTTGTAAGTAGATTTAGTTGACACTATAAATAAAAACAATTAAAGTACTGCGTCACTTGATACAAGGAAGGCTGAAAACGGGCAGCTTTGGAAAATTACTATTATATTAAAAAGAAATGAAAAGTAGTCCGTCCTTACAAATTACCTAATAACTAAATTATCGTTATCATATTTTTAATGTTTTCTAAGACGTGATAGGGGAAGAAATATAAGGAATTGTTTTGTTGTTGTTTGAAATGAGGAACTAAACTTGTTCGAGGAGTGTAGTCAAATATACTGCACCAAAACAATTAGGATCTCGGTGTTCTAACTTAGATTGGTTTAATAATAATTGTTGTGCCATTTGTTATCTGTTCAACTGACGTAGTACTAAAAAATACGACCAATTTATAAACGATTTGTTCGATACACGGCCTTTTCAAACTAGCTTCGTTTATTCAACTATATGTTTTTGAAACAATTGTTTTTATTTTCGTCTTTGTATAGAGGTGTTGAATTAATAGAACTGTATAGATAATATATTATTATTATTAGAATCCTATATATTGATTATTAATCCTGTTATCCGCTCGCCATGTTTGTACAATGTAATTCTTGTAAATATGTACCTAAATGTATCATAATTATTATTTCTATTAAACCCCTGTTTGTTTTTACGGAAGTGTTTTATTGAAAACCCAGTTCCTCTGTTGTTCCGTCCAAAGCAGCAACAAAAAGTAACAGGATCTGACTACGTCAAAATAATCGTTGATTTGCAAATCTGCATGGTGTGTCCAACTAATGATATAAAGAAACAACCTCGCAAAATCGTTAATTAATAAAAAAAAATACAATTACTTTACCATAACAATCCAATTTGTGGTTTTTTACGTCTGCAATTATTTATAATTGTATCATTATGTCTAGTTTATTGCAAACAATTTAACCTAGTAATCTACTTGTTGAAAATTGTAATTTAATTTTCTACAAAATGTCAAAAATTACCTAAATAATTGAAATCTTAAAATCCTGAACTAATTTACAAAATACGCTGAAATTGAATCCATTATACAATAAAATTATAAATGTTATTTCCACAAATAATTGAAAATTAATATAGATTCCCAATTGGATTTACAGTATTTTTTTAATGGACGTAATTTTAAAACAGTTTTCCATGATTTTTTGAAGCAACGTAATAAGTAAGAAGATAATTAAAAAATTAAGATTGTATAAATAGAATGAAGAAGAGAAAGAAGATCTGAAGAGTCCCATAACAATCTAAAATTGTTGAAGATTATACCATAACGTCAAAGATAAGGTGAGTAATACAGCCATTACAGCTTAAAAATAAATCAAGAGAACAACACATTATTCTTCAATCAGCAGCTTCGATTGTTTATTGGAGAGATTACATTTAATGGGTGAATATTGGGCTAGCGCGTTTAACTCGTTTCTGTAACTTTACCTTCGGTGCCGGTGTGTCGTCCATAATTCAAAATAAGGGCGAAAGTTTTAGGTCGTAACTCTATTCGATCATTTAGGGTGTGTTAGGAACCAGCTGTTTGTAATTTATTCCACCGCCTTACACTAGATTGCTGATTTGATTAATAACGCTTCAACAGGCTCTTTAAATATCGCCTATGCATATCTGAAACATATGAAGGTAGCGAACAAGAAGCTGATTCCTTGGATTGTTGCGAGAATAATAATTTATGATAAATTGACCATATGGCAAAAAGGTAAGTAAAGATACCAGGATATGTTTGTAGTGTTGCTTAAATCTTTTTGCTTCATTTAACCGCTAGAGGACATAGAAGTAATGAAAAAAAAATACTTTTGAAACTGTTTATTAGATTATACTAAAGTTTTAACTATAAATCTAAATATTAGGAGGGGACTAAGTTCTATAGTGTTAACTGTAAACAAACTTTTATTAGTAATTTAAAATATTAACCAAATAAAATTGATATATTCTATTACCTCAAAAGCTGCCAATAAATAACATAGTTGATTGTTTATTAACAAAGAGCTTTCTTTAACTGCTGTGTTAAACTGTTGACCTTTTAATCTGGAGATTCTAGTCGACCCCTTTATTTTTATCTTCAGAGAGCTTTGAATTAAGTTAATACATTTCTGATATCGGTCCCGTAACATAATTTCGAATATAAAATCAGTCAGATTTATGTGATAAATATCAACACGATTAACATGCAACAATTACCTGTTTGTATAACAAAAGGAAAAAGACAAAAATATTCACGCTTCTAGATACATTTGCTATATCCTTGGTCACTATTGTTTAAACAAACAAAATGTAGATATTAATGATTACCACTATTTGATATGGTTTTTATTCTTAACAAAGAAACAAGGACTTTGTAGTGCAAATAAACTTGTCATTTTCTTCGTTATTTTTTATAACAGACCTCTGATAACAGAAATTAATCTTTATTAGGTAATACGAAACGTTAATAAATGACTAGAAATTGATACTTTCAAAGTCCATTTGCAACTTCATGCACATCATCTAATTTGGTGTAAAGACTGGTCTTTTAATACTAAAAACATATAGAAACATGTTATATATAAAACCAAAAAAATTAGAGGGCCAATAGGCAAGTAAAACTAAAAACGAATTTTCTATTGTCCTGCAAGTAAGAATTTGATGAGAAACAGTACTAATACGTATTTGTATCTCCTAGAGAATATCGCTTTGGAACAAGTAAAAAAAAGTGTTTGAAAAAGCAACCGTACCTAAAGTTATACAAAAATTAGACAGCTTACTAACCACTATTTTCTGAAGAAAATCGCACATTGTACTGTTTGACAATAATTATCATTATTTCTCAATATCTGGCGTCTTGTTAATATTTTGTACCAAAATCGGAAGGTCAGAGAAATATCTATCATTAGGTCATCAAACAAGTTGTCTAATATTTAAAAATATCCTGTTACATAAAAATTAAATTGAAATAAGCGCGTTTTACGCTGTTTCTATTTATACACAATTTTAACCAAATTAAATTAACCTAAATTTTCAAAACTGCTAAACAAATCTACCCAGTTGGTTAATATTTAATGAATGAAATATTCCGAATCATCCTCTTTTGTTATGGTACAAAGATTGATAAAGCAGTACCCCAATAATATTATCATATTCATTCTCTAGATTTTAATGAATACCTAAATTAAAGCTACAATTGGATAATATTTATACATACCTTCTTGCATGGAAGCCTCCGACAGTCCAAGCAAACTTCGAATCTAATAAAGATTCGCACCATTTGCATAACCACCTACACCCAAAGTGGAACGATCGCTAGTGCATAATGCATCTCCTATTAAAGCAAGATGCTGGTGATATCTACCTGGCACCGTATAAGGTCATCGACAAAGAAGTTTCGCCTCTGCAGGCTATTATTGTACCGATAAAACAACGAATGGGAAATAATTATTTTGAAGTTAAGGCTAATAAGAGTCGTAGAAACGCTTGTTCTTTATTGACCACCATTTGTTTGTTTCAACAAATAAATGTTGAAGACACAAAAATAAACCGTTAGGTGGTTTTATTAATGAAAATAAATAGATTATTGACTTCTATCGTGCTCGATTGACAGCTGAAGGTAAAATACATATTGGACTAATAAATGGACCGCATATAACAAACAGTAATAATTCTATAAGTGAAATTCTATATTAAATATTGGTATAATGTAATCCAATAATAGTTGTTTCTCGGGTTTAATAAAGAGTAAAAATAAAACGACTCCTACCTTCATAATCAAAAAGTAAGTTTGAAGATCACACAAGTTGTATTTACAAATTGCTTCTGTATTTTTCAAGTAAACATTAAACTAAGTAAAATCTACAAATTCCAGGAAGTTCTAGTCCAATATCCACTGAAGTTAAGTTCTCGTCATTTGCATTCATATAGTTTACATTAAGGTATTTTTTGTGAAACCACTTATGTTTCTCAGAAACAGATGGGAATTGGATTCTGCGGTTGAATAAACCATACAAGCAATCATTGCTAGTTAAGAAAAAACAAACCGAATATACCTAAGGCGCTTCCTAAGAATGCAATGCATGTTTCTTACTCGCTATTATTTTAACCAACTCCATCTGGGAGCAATGATAGTTAATTTCCTATTCGCACGATATTAGTAAGAAGTCACGTTCCAAATATGGTATTAAATCATGTAGAATATAATTTAAAGTATGTCTAAGAAGATTCATTTGCTGCTAGCACAGAATTCTAAGTACATCTTCCCAGTTTACATTCTCTATTGCACAATATTAATTATTTGCTAAAAAATATGATTACATATTGAATAAGTATCTGAAGAAAAGAAAAATATAATAAATGTAATAATTTTAAATATGTAAAAGCAGCAAGACTGTAGTTATTGTCATTAGTCATCTTTCTGTGCTTCAAAGAAGAAAGACAGGGCGTTTTTCAATTTTGGACATTTAGTATGGTTTTAGTTGTCACTGTTGCTGCTGCTGCTGTTGATGTTGTACATGTTATTACTGTCGTTGTTCCTGCTGTTGCTGCTGCTGCTGGTGTTGTTGTTGTTGT